GTAGCTGGGCTGGCTCCTCCAGGGTCCTCCCCTCCTGCCGCTTCCCCCACCCAAGCACAGGAGTCCCGCCGCCTGCGAGCTCTTAGCAGGGCCTCACCTTCTGGGCTTGGTCCCTGGAGAAGGCAACGTTGAGCTGGGTCAGGGCTCCCTCCTTGTGGAACTGGGACAGCTCCTCGCGGTACAGGTAGTCCTCATTTTCATGGCGACAGCCGTAGTACAGCACCGTCTCGCCCACCTCCTTGCCTGCGAGCCAACGGGGGAGCTGTCAGCCCGGCCCGGCCCCGGCGCTCGCGAACCAGCTACTGACGGGACGTCCCGGCTGCTCCCCCGTCTGGGTGCCCTGAGCCACGGCCGTAAGGCCGGGCAGACTGCTCCTCCCCAGGTGCCGCGCACACGCTCCTGGGAGAGCTACTTTCAAACCCCAACAGGCCACACCACAGGGGTTGGGGGGGGGGGGTCCTCGCCTCTGGCAGCCAACATGGGCCTGTCCTAGCAGGCGCTGCAGCGATGAGGTGGACCAGCCACGTGCTGCTGCTCCAGGCACTGGCGAGGGCCCTGCTGCCCCGGCAACTCACCTTGCTGCTTCAGCCAAGCGCGCTCCTGAACGAAGCCCACGAAAGGGGCGATGCCGGTGCCGGGCCCAATCATGATGACCGGGGTGCTGGCTTTGAATGGCAGCCGGAACTGGGACTTCCGGACGTACATGGGCACCGTCAGCTTGTGCCCGTTCTCACTGGGCACCTTGTTCTTCAGCCAGGTGGTGGCCACCCCTCTGTTCAGGCGGCCCGTCTTGGTCTCGTATTCCACCACCACGGCGCAGATGTGGATGGAGTGGGGGTGAACCTGCAGCAAAAGCCAAGTGGCGCCAGCTGTAGAGAAAGGCAGCGATGGCTTCCAGGCAGCCCCTGGGGGTGAAGGAGTCCCACTGGGAGTCCGTGGGCAAGAACCAGCACCCGATGGGCAGGGTGTCTATGAGATCTGCTCTGCAATCTGCTCCGACCCGTGCCTCTCGGGACCGCCAACAACCTCCTGCTACAGGCACAGTTCATACCCCCTCCCCTTGCGCACTGTCCCACGCGACTGCTGCAGGAGCTTGGATCTAGCTCCAGGAACAGCAGCAGGCTATAAAGCCGGCTTGGGACCTTGGCGTCGAGCGGCTGCTGCCAACGCTGTGGCACCTTTGCTGCTGCTGCGCCTCGGTCAGGCTCCCGAGATCCATGCCACAGGTGCTGCTGCTACACCACGGAGAGCAGCCGTGGCGTCACACCCGGGACAAGAGGCCTTCCTTGTCGAGGGCCACGTTTCTGTGTCAAGGGACAGCCAAGGTCCCGACTCCAGAGAACACGGAGAAAAACCAAACAAGTAAATAAAAAGATTTTGGGGTCCGTGCCAAAGCTCCTGGCGGGCTGGATTTGGCAAGGTCTACCTATCGCCCAGCCCTGTGCTAGAGTTGCCTGGTAGTGCCCCCTGCTGGAGTAACGCCGGAGTCCTGGCAAGCTGATCACGGTCTCTCCCTTCCCCAGGGCAGGGTAGGGCAGGGAGCAGCGTGCTGGTGCACCAGGCTCTCTGACTGAATCCTGCGCCAGATCCCGCTTCCCCCCGCACTGCAGGAAGAGCGAGGAACTCGCTGAGCTGCGGAGTGATGCAGGCTTTGCTGCGCCCCACATTCTCTCTGTTGCAGCTGGCGACGTGACTAGACCTTTTTGCGGCTGGAGGCTGGGGGGGGAGCGGGGGGACGGGATCGCTGCGTGAGCCCGCAGGGCGTGCACCAGGAGTGGAAGCAGGCTGAGATTGGCACCGGGAGTTACAGATGTGCACCATTCACGTGATACCCTGCATCAGGGAGGGAGGCCAAATCCCACTAAAGCAGTTCACTGCTTAAACAGGGTCCCTCGGGCAAGCCCGGCTAGCTGGAGAGCCTCCTGCCCACGGCTTGGTGGGGCGGGCCCAGCTCCTAGCACTCTCCCCCGGCATGGAGTAGTTACCCCCGGAATCCACCTCGCTGCAAAGCCACGGGCCCTAGCACAGCGAGAGCAGAGCGAGGCAGCCCGGGGCACCGTGGCGATAGCTGTGATGGAGACTCCCTTTGCCACGGATTCCGCATTCCACGTGTGACAGACCAAATCCGGTTTAGCTGCTCGCAACAGCCAGCAGGGAGCCACCTGCGCACTGGACAGTTTCCTTCTAGGAAAATCCCCCCATTCCCTTCCCAGCCCTTCAGGCCAGGCCTAGAGGAGTCTCCAGACCCGTCCAGGGGTGTCTCAGGATGGCTGGGGGCTGGAATGCGGAGACAAATCTTCCTGGATTGCCCAGCGGCCTAGCTCACGCCGAGGAAGTAAGTGCCTCACCGGGGCCTGGCGCCCAGGGAAAGGACTCACCTTGGAAGAGGAGGCGATGGAGTAGTAACGGGCCTGCAGGCGGGGCAGCAGCTCGCAGAGGTGGTCGATGGGCGGTCGCAGAGATGGTACGTCCTGCAGGATGGCCAGTATGTTCCTCCGGGCCTCCACAACCCAGCTGAGGTACAGCGTCTAGGTGCAGAGGGTGTGGACAGAAGGACAAGGCGAAGGTGAGACACAGGTGGCTTCATAGTGCTGACTCTACCGCAGGGCGGTAACCAGGGTCCCTTGCCCCGGCCCTTCCTTTGGCACAAAGAGGGTGCGCAGGGGAGCCACAGAGCCAGCGGCCCACAGCAGGAGGCTAAGCAATGGCGGATACCTGGGGATTGCACCAAGAGGGACGGGGGGGGGAGGTAACTTCTGCAGGGCAGATGGGAGCAAAGCCGCTCCCTGGGGTACCTGCGCTCACAGCCTTTAACTCCTCCCCCGGAGCATGGCTCCGCCCACCCCATGCCGGCAGGTGCCGGCCCCCTGCCCCGTCACTGCCACAGGGTGAGAGCTGCTGGCCCAGACCAAGCACAACGGGGCCCTGAGGTTCATCAGCCTCTCCCCTACTGACCAAGGAGAGCCACCGGTAAAGCCTCTGTTGGGCCTGTGCACCGTCAGCTGGCGCCACATGGCACCCACAAAGATTAGGGGCCAAGTTTTCAAAACCACCCATGACACGTAGGCTCCGAAGTCCCGTGTTCAGAAGTGACTTAGGCACTCGGGTGCCTGAACCTCATGGGAGGTCAATGAGATTCAGGCTCCTAATGCCAGTTTGGGAAAGAAAAATAAAACTGCCCATCCCCAAACCTTCCCTTTGTCCCTCCCGTCTACCCACTGCTGCCCGAGGCTCTGCCAGGGGTTTGAAGACACTTGGCTGCCGCTGGGGGACATTCAGGGATTTAACGACTCACCTAGTGGCAAAGCTAAGGACAAGGTTTGCGGGACACTTCCTACTGTACGGTTTTCTACCTCGCCCCCTTGCTTTGCCTTGACCCATCATTGGCCTTGGGCATGCAGACAGACAATTAGCACCGCCCCAGTTACGTTACGAAGAGCGTAAAATATTTTATATTCCCTCCTCCCCCCCCCCCAAAAAAAGGATAAAACCCTCACAGCTCAAGACAGAAGCCAGCCTCTGGCAGGCTTCGGGAAGGAGCGTCCACAAAGAGGTTTCTCCCTACTTATCTACCCAGGGCCACCTCCTGAGACAGGTCTGGGAGCAGTCAGTGTCAGGAACAGGGTCCTGAGGGAGGCAGAGCTCTCCCAGACAGCTCGTTGGCGGCCCACGCAGAGAGAGAATCCCTGCTCAGCGGCCTCCTCGCCCGCCGGCGCAGCGCCGGGCTCACCTTCCCCTCGGCAGCGGAGGACGCCATCTTGCGCAGGTGCTCCTGCTCGCCGAGGTCTGTGGCGTACTGGGCTAGCTCGTACAGGACGTTGGTGCGCGGCGGGTTGGTGATGTCCAGGTAATAGGTCAGGGCTGTCCGGTACGTGGTGGGGCAGGGGAACGGATGCTTCTTGTTGGACTCCTCTGGGGAAGGGAGAAGAGGAGGGTGACGTTCAGAGGGCGTCAGAAGGGAAGGGCATGAGGACACTCACATTCGTGGGGGCACAGAGCTAACTTCCTGGGAGGCAGGGTCACCTAGTGGATAGAGCGCCCGCAGACTGACTCGGTGTCACGAGGCGTAGTTAACTCTACTCACCAGCACGAAAGCTCCCTGAAGAGCAGCCACCTAAGCTGGAGTTAAGTCAGTTTAGCGCCCCAGGCGTGCGGCCTGGAACTGTAACAGACAGAGGACGCGGCCGGCTGGGATCTTACAGTCACCGCCAGCATAGAAAGATGTGGGCGAGCGGCTTCGCTTTCGGGAAGTGGCTCTTGGACCAGCAGGAAGTGGCCTTCTAAGGGCAAGGCCTGGGTGTCCCTGCCCTGTGACGACCTGTTCGCGAGGAGTCCCGGCAGGCCTATGGCACAACACAGACCTGCCGGGGGGAAGGCCGCACGTGCCACGTGTCCTTTCACAGCCGTCACGTGCCACGCTGCCACAGAGCCATGCAGGAGGGCCAGCCGCCCTGTCTGACTCTGAACACACGGGGCCGGGGGAGTTCGCACTGCAGTGCCATGCACTGATCCTTTGACTAACAACGCCAGGGATCCCATCCAACCTACAGAGAGGGCACCGCCGACGTGCTCTGGTGTCCTGTAACCAGAACCACGGCAGTTGCGGCACTTGTGCACACAGCCACGTTAGGGATGGATGAGTGTAACCAAGCAACACTGATCAGTTACGAGCGCCCGTTACACTCGTCAGAGCCGCGGCGGCCCTGAACCGTGGAACCCACAGAAATTCCATCAGGTGCAGGGCATCCCTGCTTTAAGTCACCCCGTAAACATCCGTTCCGCTCTAAAGCCGTGGACGCTTGTAGGAACCGAGGCGTTTTAAATCCTCCCGTTCCCCACCCTTAAGCCTCACAAAAATTAAAAACCACTTTGCGCAAATAGAAGTCAGCCACTGGGAAAAAATTCCCCGCTTTAAGTCCTTTCGCTGTAAGGCCCCGTTTTTTGGAACATATCTCGGACTCATAGCAAGGACGGCCTGTACACGGTTAATCACGTTTTCAAATTTTTACACTTCAAATTTTTCATCTCACATGTTGCAGTCGATATCAACACACAGAGCTCAGCCAGGCCTGGGCTCTTGTAAAACTTCAAGCCGCCTAAGAGATTCACCTAACCAGCAGGGCTCGACAATCGCTGTATCTATTCGCCTGTGGTGAGTAGATTTCAGCCGGTCTGGCGCATGCGCGGTGTGGGGCTGGCGAGTAGATCTCGCCGCGGTTCGTCGAGCACTGCTAACCAGAATATCAAGAAAAACTGTTTGGCTAAAGGCACGTTGGCCAGAAATGCCAGACACCCTTACTCCTGCCCCGCATAGGGGTGGAACTGAGGGCCTCTTGAAGCCGCTTTGAGCCCGACAACGATGAATGACTTGTATTTTGGTGGAACGAAGAGCCACAGTCACAGACGAACATTCGGTGGTGCTGGATGCTGTACCAACAGCACAAAAAGCTGGTGTCTGTCCCAGTGAGGCAGCAGGATCCTAAGTTTACCCCAATCTGGATCCTGCTGGAAAGGCAGAAGGTGCAAACCCCCTGCCCTGATTCTGGGGGCCTCAGGCCAAGCCAAAAGAGCCTTCTCTGCAACGAGACTGTGATCAAAAGCAGTCGGGTAGGCGCTGCCCTGCTCTGGGCAAGTAACGTGCAGACACCCCATTCACCAAGGGAAAGGAGAGACTGTTTTGCCAGGTGGATAGGAACGGCTGCTCCTTTGGATTACTCACCATCCAGGTTGTTTAAGGACATGATGGTATCCAGGTCTGCCCCCAGAATCTCGCCGATCTGGTTCACCAGGGTCGTGTCGTTGGCTGGGTACACAGCAACATGGTCCCCAGACTCGTATCTAGGGAGAAGCCAGCATATCAACACGCAACCCGCCACCAGTGGAACGCGGCTGCGAACGGGCAGGCCCAGCGGGAAGCGGAGCATGCGAAAAGCATCACCTTTACGAGCTGCACTGATCGATTACCTGTATTGACTGGGAGGGGCCAGGGCTCGTTTAATGGAAAGGCCAAATACCAGGCATGATCCGGGTCCTGTCCAGCATGCAGGAAAGCAAAGAGCCAGCTGGGAAGATCAGAGCTAGTGCAGCTAGAAACAGATGCACGGGAGGCAACGTTCTGGTGTTCCCGATTCCATCAGTCTCCAGAATACGACACTGCAGGTTGGACCTCCCTGGTCCGGCACCCTCGGGACCTGACTGGTCCCGGATGAGGGATTTTGCCGGACCAGGGGAGGTCATTTTTGGACCCCTGCCACCGGCCTCCCAGACAGCTCCCCACCTCCAGCTGGCCCCACTGCCCTGCCGACCCGATGGGCAGCCATGGCTCCACCAGGCAGCCGCATGCACCATGTGCTGGGGCTCCGGGCAGCCACACACGTACTGCACACCGGGGCTCCCAGCCGCATGCCGGGTCTCCCAACCACGTTGAGTGGGCCCCGCCATCAGCTCCCTGTGGGCAGCCCTCAGCCTTTGCCCTGCTGGCCCCACAGGCATTCTTGCTGCTGGCCCTCCACCGGGACTCTGGTCCTGCAACATCCATGCTGGACGTTGGACGTTGCCAGAGAATCCCGGTTCAGAGCGTTTCAATCTGTCTTCCCTCAGAAGCATGAGCTTCCCATACACTTGGCTCAGCGCTCCATCCGCATTAAGAGACTGGAGGGGGAAACCTCTTTTAGCCCAGGTTAATTTCATCCAGACTCAGCTTCTCCCCTCCCCCAGCAATCACAAAAGCCTGGGGCCAAATTCTCTCCTTGGAGAGCCGCTGAGCAACAGTGGAGCCAAGGAGAGCAGAGTCTGGTCCTTCGTTAACGAGCCATCAGCGCTGGCAACAGGCCTAGAAACCAGGCTCCATGGTGCCAGGGTGATTGTCCTGCACTCCGGGATCCTTCCTAAACTTCAGTGCCGGGGTGAAGTCCTGGCCCTTTTGAAGTCAATGGAAGTTCTGTCATTGACTTTAATAGGGACAGGACTTCACCCCAGAACAGATGCCTTTTGCCGCTGAATTCAGAGGGCCTTAAGGCCTCTGTGAGATCTTCCTCTGCTTTCAGAGAACACCAGCTAAGTTTTGCACTCTCAGACCTAACCAAGCAATTTCCTACCATTACAGGGGTTTCAATATGAAGTTGCCTGTTCCAACCTCAGATGCTGTACAGCACCGTCCGAAGCGAGGCCAAAAGGCTGGCGTAAGGCTCCCATGAGGACGCTCTCTTCCTCTAGCCCCGTTACTGCCGAAGGAGCCCAAAGAATACTAGAGCGCGGTTACAGCCGTTACCGACACATGCGGCCACCTCTGGGGTGGAACACGGCAGTTATTGTGCTGCCCAGGGCACCATGACAGAAGAATTTAGGACAGGAAGAGCAGAATACCCACAGAGCTTCTGGTTAAGCACAGCCGCTCTGGGGCGAAGCCACGCAATAATTAAGACAGGAGGAAATAACTCCAAAGAGAAAAATAAAAATTCACCTATCAAAGTTACCCTGCTCCAAACCCACACGGCACCTGCCTATGTCTGTGGGGCCAGTAAGCGCATCAGCGTGACTCCGTTCCAAGCTCCCCAGTCCCTCCCCAACAGAAGGGAGAGCTCCCGCGTGGGGTGGTACCTGATTTTGGAGCCAGAGATGTCCAACTCCAGGTGCATGAGGTGCCTCTCTCCGGCCTGGTTCAGCTTGCGGTTCAGGGTGACCGGGGCCAGGAACGGGTTCTTTGCATCAAACGGGCTGGAGGGAATAGCAAGGACTCTGTTGACAACCAGGCTTCACAGTATCTCAATAGTGCCGCTCAAAGGCCCTCTTCCTTCCACCCCACGGCGCTGGCCTTGCTTTTGGTTCAGATCTTTCCTTTTTTCTAATAGGGCTTTTCTCTTTTTGAGAGATGACGCCCCACACAGAGTAACAGCCAGCTGGCAGGGTGGCATGAAAACAGCAATGGCGAAAGACCTTCCCCGTCTAGGTCGGCCTGCGTGTGGCTTCCCCCTCCTCTGAAATCGGAATAGCCCTTCTTTCGTACAGGGCTCCGAGGGGCAATGCCTCCTCTAAGAGCTTGTTATTTCACTGGGCAGCACTTGGCTCTGGAAGACTGCCAGGTCACCCCACCCGTGCTGACCCATTGGGATGAATGCAGCGCCGCCGGCATTAGGTCGACAAGCCTGGGAGATGAGCTTTAGAAAATGAGCCTCTTTCGCCTTGTGATGATCTATGTGGCAGCACGGCAGCTTCTGACAAACCTTAAAACCGTTCACACAAAACTAGTAAAACCAGGAGTGAATCCTCCCCCACCACGCTAAGTCAGCCCCGCCAAGGAGAGAGAGCCCGCCCTGACCACCCCTCGCTCATCTCCTACCTCTCCCAAAGTCCCAGGAACTCGTGGATTTTGCAGAAGGCCCACCCAACCCAGGTGGCTACAGATGCTGCTTTAAGCCAGGTTACAAAGAAAAGGCTTCCAATCCGGCCTCTAAACTTGTTCCTGCCCTGGGGTAGATGCCAGCACGTAAACTGCCCGGTGTGCAGATGCAGCAGGTACATGGGCACCAAACTGCTATCCTGGGAAGAGGATTATCACATGGGATTCTACCCCCTCTCCGACCGTGGGGGGAGCCTCCAAGGCCACCCGGCAAGTCAGGGCCCTGCAACGTGCAGGTCAGACTAGAGGACCATGAAGGTCTCTTCTGACCTTAAGAGTCTGCCAGTAGCAAAGCCAAGAACAGAAGCCTCCTCGCCTGGTTCCGAATCCAGTGTCTCCAAGACAAATCCATTCAGCCTCTCCAATCCGCGCCCCCATAAAAAGCCCTGGTTAAAACTGTGCCCCTCGAGTTTGGAGCAAGCAGGCGAGACTCCTGTTCCCTCCTGCCAGGGGGTTTTTTAGTCACGGCCTCTGCAAAGAGTTCTTGTTGCTCCCAGCAGAGAACACGCCTGTGGCAACCGGCCCCCCGCGCGCAGTTCTCCCACATGAGCCGGGCGCAGCCTTTCACACAGGCCAGTCACACTGCGCTGCCCACAAGTCCACCCAAAGGATCAGTGCCTCAGGGCAGGACCAGTGACCGTGCCCCAGAGGGTGACTGTGCACTGGGGATCAGTTGACTCTGCTGGACTGCAGCCCCACAGGCCAGCCCGATGAAAGATAACCGAGACCGCAGGGAAATCGCCCACGGGTTTCTTCCTCCCGGGCGCTGTGCCAAGCCCGGGTTTCCATCCCCCGCCTGCAACTTACTGACGCTGTCTCCACCCTCGCCGGAGCATATTTCCACACACATTGCAACACGGGCCTGGGCCTGCTGCTGAGAAGGTCACGTGGTTTTCCCTCACGGCCTTCGACACTTAAGGCAGCACCAGCCCTGCCACAAGCACAGCTATGAGAGAGCTTTGCCTTGGCAACTTCTCCCACCCCCACAATCCATGGGGGGGACACATGTGCCCATCATGGGGACCATATCACCAGCATTCATGTACTTACCCTCGCCAGGGCAGCACCTCCCCAATTTTACAGGGGGGAAACTGAGGCAGAGAAACTAGGCAACGTGTCCCGGGTCACACCGTGCACAGCCGAACCCACTGTACCACCCTTTTCCGCCACCCTCCCGAAAGGAGCTGAAAGTGGCCAGGATGCAATCG